AAGCCAAGTTTTAGTTCTTTGAAAAGTTATTGCCTGGCTTGTCTTCAAGGAACACTTCTCGTGTCCCATCTTAAATGCGGAGAACCGACCATGTACACCATGTTCTTGCATTAATATACATACGGCGGGTTTATACAGATTCTTTTTTGACTAGGTATAATACCAGGACAGAAAGTAAGCGGGGAGTAGAAAATTTTTTGGTAACAGGGATTCCCACAATCAGCTGAATAGCTGATCCCAAAGGAAAGCTCTCGTGTCTCTGAAGTTTGCAGGATGGAAACTGTAAATGAGTGATGCCGGGGGTCAAATGTGACTGTGTATGTATCTCATGCCACAGAACCATACCTGATTTAACCTAGCCTGTAATTCCTGCCTTTTGCTGGCAGTTGAAGAGAAACCATTTTCCAAGGCAAACTCCAAGCTATTAATTAAATTCAAAATTTTCAAAAAGTAAAGTATCTCTGAATTATGTTTATCATCTTCCCAGTCATTGGCTCTTATGGTGCTTTTGATGGGTGTAAGATAGGTTTATAGTACTAAATCTTCCACATGTATTTACAGGCTGAATCCATCCTGTGACTAAGCTAAAGGCTCTCAAGTTCCATGGTAAGACAGGTTTTGCAGATTTTTTTTTTCTAAACCATTGGCTGTGGCTTTCTTTCTAAACCCCTCCCAGGAACGCCTGGTGAAGAGGAGACAATTGTGTGACATACCTGTATCAGAGAGTCGGATGCTTCCAGGAACGCTGATAATGCCGAGTGCTTTGTAGGTGTTGCATGCTAAAACAAACAAATGGGTCTCACACCTGCGGATTTTCTGAGCAACTAACGTAAAAAATCACAGCGATCTTCCAGTTGCATCCCTCTCTCTTTCTGTCCCCCTGCAACACTGAAGTAGGCTGACCTATAAAACTGGAATTCCCAGTCAGAAACTGCATCTTGAGCTTTCACACCTTTGAAAACCAGAGGAGACGCTGGAGCAGTCACTCAGCACAGGTGGGTGCTGCCGTTGCCTCCTGCCCCGTCTTTCAGACCGTAGCACCCGCTTCCGCCTTGGGGGACTTCTCCAGCAACGACGCACTTCAATTCCGAGGTCGAATCCAATACTCCAATTCCCAATCCTAACCACAGAACTATAGGCTATTTTGGGGGTTACACTACTCCCTGTCCTGTTCCGGAGCTGGATTGCTTTCAAGAATGCGTGAGTTACAGGGCCAGAAGGTCGGTATGCAAGAGGGAACCTGCCTTGGTAGATATTTTATGTTACGCAGTAATTGGTTACAAACAAGAAATAAAGCTAAGGGCAGACACGGTGATCCTGGGTCTTCCCCTCCTAGCTGAGTGCCCTGACCTCTCTGGATTACAGAGCTGGATCTTGGCATTTTTGCCGCCTTGGCCAAGGATTTTTTACCCTCCTGGGCACCTGATAGCCCAGCTCCAGCATGACGGGTTTGATGAGTTTATGAACTCATACTTAATGCCGATTTCCTTATCTCAAAGAGATGAAAACTTAGCACGTGAAATGTAAATGCAGCTAGGCCTTGTTTGGTGTCTAGTCTAAGGTTAAGTTACTTTCTGCACCAGCTCATGCACTGGAAAAAAGGGGTGGGGGGAACTGGCAGCAGCTGGCAACGGCGCTTGAAGAAGCTGAAAACTGTCACTCGGGAGCTTCCACCAGCTCTGCCATGGGGAGCCCCAGCACGGCGGGAACGGTGGGCCCAGCCTGGCACTGGTGCAGGTTTTAGAGGCGTTGGTCTCTCGAGGCAGTTCTCGCTTGCCTGGTCTCAGCCACATGCTGTTCAATTCTGTGACATCTAAGTAGGACAGAACTGCCCTCTTCTTGCTAGAAGCCAGATGCTTCTGTGGTACGTTTTGTGTTTCTTCTCATGCCACTCTGTCTGCAGACAGACAGCATTCACCATGTTGCTTTGCATTCAGACTGAGTTTACCAAAAAGTTCTGTTTCTCTGAGAATACTGAGGTTTCTCTTCTCTTTGCGTGTGAGCACCGAAAATATATGTAGTCCTTGGCATGTTGCTGGCACCAGGTGACCTTGTTTGCACCCATACTTGCTTGAATAGGGGGTTTGTGTGCCAGGGCTTAGAAAGGGGTGATTTGCAGGCTAGTAAGGGGCAACCCTGTGATTAGAAATTCCACGATCTGACAGGATGCACGTTTGACCTGCTAGTGTAAAATAGATTATTATTCTATTATGTAAACATTTTAAGGTACAGGTTTGATAACAATCAATGACAGAAGTAGGTGGTGCCTTCCTACCTGTCTGAGAAGTACTTGCTAACACGTACTGCAGCGTTTAGTTTATAACCTTACAATAGTGGCTTTGATTAATAATGCTTTATTAGTTATAAACGTAGACTTACTGAATAAATCCTACTTACTCTGTTGAATGGCTCTCCACGCCTACATAAAACTATTTCAGTAATTAGAAAGCTACTATAATATTTCTCTATATTGTAGTCTTTGAGTTGTTAGCTCTCTGTCAGCTTTCCTGAATTCCTGCATAGGATTGCTACTTGACTCCATCCTTGACACGAAAGGGAAACGGTTTCGCCTTGCATTTTGCGATGAGAAAGGGCGGGTGTGGTAAGACAGGGTTTCCCAAATTAAAGAGGAAGGGGAGGGGAAAGAGAGCGTCTCTTCTTCTCATGTGCCTCTGGATCTGTACTGACCTCCTCCCCGCCGGGATCAGAGAAATGAGACTGGAGAGGCGATATCCCTGCTGAAGAGGACCAAGCTCCCTCCCCGAAGGACAGTACAGTTGTCACAATTGCCTTGTGGGCTTGAGTTTCAAGAGAAGAGTAGGAGAGTGGGCCTGAGGAGTGTTGGCATAGGGCATCTTGTGGAGAGCTCACCTCTGTCTTTTTCTAGAGGATGTAGGCGTGTAACTCCTGGGGTTTTTCCTCCCCTTGCTATATAAAACACCAAGCAGTGGGGATCAGTTGTTTTATCTACTACTGAAATGCAGCCATCAGTGCAGAATAACATGAGAACAGTTTGAAAGGAAGCGTGGAACACTATATTCAACTGAAACTAATTACCTGATTAGGTTTTGGCCTGGCTGTGTGGATTGACATCCAATGGTCTTGGCGACGATACCTGTGAGCAAAGCCAAGTCTAGTCTTGCTTCATTTAAAGACTCTGGACAAAACTTCTGGACTTGTGTGCCGAATGTTAAGCAGTGTGAAAATAGGCCACTGATTTAAAGTACCCCTGGCTACAATGGCTGTCAGTGGGCAGCTGGCATGGTTGCAAATGAATGAGCTTATTTGGGTTTTAGAAATACTGGTTTCCATTTAAAGGTGGTTCTGTTTCAAGCACACAATCTGGTGAAATTTAACTCTGCATCGGAACATCCTCCATCTACAGCTATAGGATTAGCACTTTCCTTTCCTTCAGCGCTTCAAACTTCTCCCCTTAGAAATTTAGTCAAAGTCTGACACTGAGATCTCGTAAACTTAGAAAACCACCTAAAGGGATGTTATCTCACCTAGTCTGCTACAGTAGTTCCTTATCTTTATCTCCATAGGGGTTAAATACATTAGGTCTGCTTTGTTAGGTGAGAAGTATTTGTTACTGCTATTGTCATCTTCTCTTGCACCTTTGCGCAAACACTTTTTTGACCTGTTGGTATCTTTGTTTGGAAAATGTTTTCATGTTAGGAGTACCTACGCAACATCTCAAGTGTCTATAGTGTTAGACATATCTATATTTACCGGTGTGATGGTATTTTTCTGTCTTGGCATCACTCTAAAGGAAAAAAAAATCATTACTTGGAAGGATTTGAAGCTTTACTGGGAAGAGAGGGATGAGTCTTTCATCTGTACGCTATTATAAAAATACAGTCCATTCAGAACAAAGGTGAGCAGAGCACTTCTAGAAAGACTTCAAGTGTCCTTGCCTCTGAATGGGAAGCTTCTGGGCTGCACTCAATTCTGGCACCCTAGAGACCCTCTGTTCTCCCTTCCCAGGGAGAACGACGTGAAATGAACTGTCAAATGGGTTGTGGCAGTTCACTGGTGAGCATTGACTTTATGAGGAATTTAGTACGTCTATTCTGATATCCTGGAGGCGCATCGAGACGCATTACTAAAATGAATTGGACAAGCGGTTGATGAAAATCCAAGAGCTGGTAAGAGATGCTCCACAGAACAAGAAATCCTAATAGACAACCATAGGAAAAAATATTTTTGCCAACTGGCTGACTATTTTAACTTAGCAACTGGCTTATGCTCTACCCTATTCCTTAACATCTAAAATAAATATTGAATTCTCTCCTGTTTACAAACCTTCTTAAACCATTTGCCTAAGAGGCATCCCAGTAATGAAGTCCTCAAAGTTGTGTTTAAGCATTTCCTCTTACTGCAAGAATAAATCCATCAAGTTTTCGGCCTCCCACAAAGAAAACAAATGCAAGCCTGTAAGTGCCATAAAAGCACCAAGAAACTTCAGAAGCAATTTAAAATAACAAAAATACGCTTTTGGACACCTCTCGCTACTTCTGTGTGGAACGAGGCTGGGCAGGGACTCGGGGGCTGGAGAGGCAGACGGGAGTTCACCTTGTGTAACCTGGTATTCCCTTCCCCTCGCCCCCGCCGTCCCCAAATCAGCTGTCACAGTATTGGCAGGAGTCTCCGGAGCCTTGGCTAGCCAGGAGTTTGCCCAGCTGTTTGGCCCAGGATTTCGCAGAGAAGGAGAAAACCTTCCTGGCTGAAGCTTCTGTAAAACCACCGCTTCAGCGATCAAAGCAGCAGTGTCCCTACGGGGGAAAAAAGCATTGGGGGGGCGCGGGCGGGGAGGGGCTGGCCTCTTCACGATAAATAATGACCCTAGAGCAGGGCCAATCTCCTAGGAGAAGTGGTGGGATTACAAAGGCGGCAAGATCTCCACTTCTTCTAAAAGCACGCGTAGAGTTCAACTCCGTTGCAATTCTGTGGTTTGAAAATGTGTCGCTCCTAACAGCTGCTTGTGTTGCCCTTGCAGGATGATCTGGAAATTTGCCGTGTCCGTTTTTCTGATGGCGGCGCTGGTTCGAGTGACAGACACCCGGAAAAACCGTCCCGCGGGCGCCATTCCCTCCCCTTACAAAGACAGCAGCAGCAACCACTCGGAGCGGAGGCAGCAGCTGAATAAGGAGGTGCTGGCCTCCAGCCAGGAGGCCCTGGTGGTCACCGAGCGGAAGTACCTCAAGAGCGACTGGTGCAAGACGCAGCCCCTGCGGCAGACTGTCAGTGAGGAGGGCTGCATAAGCCGCACCATCATCAACCGCTTTTGCTATGGGCAGTGCAACTCCTTCTACATACCACGGCACGTGAAAAAGGAGGAGGAGTCCTTCCAGTCCTGTGCTTTCTGCAAGCCACACAAGGTCACCTCTTCGACCGTGCAGCTGGAGTGCCCTGAGCTGGACCCGCCTTTCCGACTCAAGAAAATTCAGAAGGTCAAGCAGTGCCGGTGCATGTCTGTGAATCTTAACAACTCAGGGAAACTGTGAGAGCAGGCGTGTAGCTACTGCGTGGTGTTGCCCCCATCAGATTTACTGCTGCCTCTCCCTCTGAGCAGACTGTCCATTTTGTTGGTTTGTTTCTTCTTTTCCTTTTTTTTTGTGTTTTGTTTTCTTTCAGGAGGCATCCCTCCAGCAAGGAAAGGCTCCTTGTCTCTTGCCTACTGGAATAAAGCTTTTTAATGGGCTCTGTTAGGCACTTCACCATAAAGTTTCATTGTATTTCCAATATCATCTGGCGGTTGAATCTTCTGGAGTGGAGCAGGCTCCCAGAAGTTGGGATTGATTATCCAAGTGACCAGTTGGCTAGATCCAGCATTAAATGTTTCCACTGTGTGGAGTAAAGCCCTCTGTCCTACACTCCAGTCCCCTCCACAAGATGAGAACGCTTTCCCCATGCTTTGGTCCAGAGCTTGCCGCTCCCACTTGGAAGTGCTGGGGTGCTGCCCAGGACTGGGGGACGCAAATGAGGGAGAGTAACGAGGAGCAACGTGCGAAAAGCAAGCGAGACTCTCCGATGAGGCTCATCTCCTTAAGACAGCTTTAATTGTGCAATGACAAATGGTTCCGGGCTGGTTGTCTGAACGGCAGATAAGAAGCGAGGGGGAGAGGGCAAGGCGCTGGGTCAGCCACTGTGACCACGGAGCAGACTGAGGGTGGGTTCTGATGCTGTTGTGGTTAGAGTATATCAAACACGTGGTCTCTGCAGCAGTGTTTATTTTGTAACCTAGCTATAGTAAACAGCTGTTTAAAGTATTATAGACCTAGCCATGTATATTTTTCATGTGGCAGAGTATGCCAGAGATTAAAATATGTTGAGTAAGAGACTTGGTGGCTAGGTCAGCTGCCTGGCTTAAAATGGACATGGTTTAACTAGGCTTTCGGTAGGATTTTGTGTGTTAGATGTGTGTGTGTTTCTTACTCCAAAAAGGACAACATCCATTTATGACCTTATATTTATGCCTGCTCAGACCGGGGAAAGTGGGAGGGTAGTGGGAGAGGAGCTGAGAACACTTAGGGGAACGATGTTTCCCTTAAGGTATAAAAGCACTGTCACACAAAGGACAAAATTTGGTCGTTGCCGGACTGAATACAAAAGCTGCATCAGTGTCATCAAATTTTGGGAATGGTGTCTCTCCCATGATTGGAAACCATGTTAATGTGTTAGCATTAAAGGACAAACCCATCAGTCAGTGCTGCTGGAGTGGGTCACAGCTGCAGGAGCAGGGCGAGAGTAAGTTGTAATTGCTCCAGTACTGGTGGTCCACTCAGTTTTTGACACATTATCAGTGTTGGTGAACACTTGCAGTTCATTTTAAATCATACTATGTTGTTACTCAGCTGATGGAGTTTAGCATGTCCTGCATATCCTGTTTGTTACAGTTCTGATCTGTATTAGTCCCAGCTGCATTAAAATCCTATGTCTCAAAACAAACCTTCCCCCAAACCAAAGCCCGTGAAGCTTACAAATTAAAAACGACACGCCGACTCCCTGATGCATGTCCCACAGCATATGCATCTAGTGAAACCAGCTTGCTGTGGGAGCCCTTTCCCGCCAGCCTCTTCACACGCAGCCACTTCAAGGGGTTAACGTGTTTAGCACTCTCGCTGGCCCGGGGTTCAGAGCCACAGGTCTCTATTATGTGAGACAGGCTGCTCTAAGAGGCTTTCAGGACTGAGCTCCACGAGAGCTCACCAAGCGGTTTACGGGGATTGGCACGGGCAGGATGAGGTTGGTCAGGTCTGTTAGTCCTATTACGTGAGCGGCCATGGCTTTTCTGGTGCGATCTTTCAGCATGTCAGAAGTGCACAGGGAGACTCCTCACGCAGGGATTGCTTTAGAGGCTGTCGCTGCTGTGCTGCCGGTGTCGAGCCAGCCACCGAACGGGCACCGTCCAGTCTAGGCTTGAGAGCGTTGGTGTGGGTGGGGTGGGGGGGAAGGTGGCAATAGCTGTAGCCTACTAAGACTCCAGGGACCTCAGCCTCCGCTTGAAAGAAATGAACTGAAAGTCAGGCATTTTGGACTAGAGAGAGAAAAGCACCCTAATAACTTCAGTTAAGAAAAATGTGCAAGAATCTTTATCTTTAAGCTATGTCCTGCCTGGGTTTTTCACCAGTTTGCAATATGAATATGCTGCAGCTTAAAGCTCCTAGGAGCTGTGTTTATGTAAAAACTGAGTTGAGCTTGTAATGGTTAAAACTGTATTTAATTCTTGTTTTATAAATGAAAACAAAAAATGAAGAAATGCTTTAAGTATAATGTAATTATTTTATAGGTCTACTATTAAATTATAGATTAAATAATAAAGCTACTCTAGGGTTATATGGCATCCAGGTGTATGGGCTTTGCTTCAACACCTTGTGTCCAACTGCTCTCGAATCAGTATATTCTCCAGCTTCCTTTTGACCCTACCAGATAGAGGTAAAAGATGGCTCACCCTGACAGCTTGGGAAAACCTAGCTACTTCTTCCCTTGTCCCCCACCCCCCTCAAAAGTACCTGCAAGGCAAGAGGGAAGAATAAATTGCACTAATCCTAGATTCTGGAGTTGATTCTGCATGCACAAATTCTGGTTTTTTGGTTAACTGACAAGAAGACAACCAAAGCTCCACCACTGGCTGAACTGCTGGCATAATTTGCGGTAAGAGAAGTAACTATTACCCTGACCTAAGTGGTTTTGCTTAAAATATAGCTAGATCCTTATGTAACAGGCACCAAACTACTCATAGGGGGAAAAAAAAAGAAGTATATCTTAAGATATAGGTGAGCTTTAATAGTTGCGATCAGTTCTTGAATAAGTACACTGTGTGTCTCTCCAAAGGTAGGGTAGTGTTTTAGTGGTTCTTTTTTTTTTCTTTCCAACCCAGAGAAAAGATAGTTGCAAAATAATCTTGAAGGAAAACTTCAGTGAGGAAAGGGAGTTCTCACACTGAGGAATGAGCCTCCATGTGACCAGAAGAGATGCCTGCCATGGGTCTTGGAAGAAGCAAGAGCACCTCAACCACAACTAGCAAGGGAGGGCTATGTCCTTTATGGCACTGTAACTGACAGCTGCAGGAACCCTTTGCTCTCTTCCCTTCCCCATCGCTTGCCCAAATCCTCTCACAGTTCAGCAATGTAATGGGTTTGGGGACTTTTTTTTTCTTCAGTAGCTTGGTTTTGAGAATTACTGTTTTGCTGTGCTTTAGCTGCCTAAGCGTGGTCAGGGCCCTCTGCTCAGAACTCGGAAGCGCCTCTGTCAGTCGGCTCAGAAGGAGCTCAGGCAGCCGTCTCCTCCAACGCCCCTCTCTCATCTCCACCTGTCTCTTAGCCACCCTCCTGCTTTGCAGGTAGCTTCATTGCCCAGCGCCCACCTGAACCTCTGCTGTTTGTGGTACAGCCCAGACTCCAGCTCCAGCTCTCCCA